TTTATTTTGCATAATCTGTCTAAAGAATATTTGATATGATGGTCACACAGTTCTTAATAAATAGTGTCTTCTGTATTTCTTAATAAATAGTGTCTATTAGTGTCACTAATAAATAGTGTCTTAATAATAATGTCCTTCTAGAAGGACAGCTTTGGGTTTTTAAAGGATTGGATTTAAAATTTACACATAATTCTAGGTTGGACTTTGATTTTCTTTTCAGGACTGAGTATGAACTATTTGAGAAAGGCAGAAGTAACTGAATAGTCACTTGGTGTTGCCTTCCGGAAGGTCTATGTGCTGTTGCTTTGAAGCCCAAGGCTTTCAGGCTGGTGAATGTCTCTTACAGTCTATAGTTCTATTGTCGATATGCACAACTCCTTTTTCTTTTTTTAAGAGACTTTTTTTTTTTTTTTAAAGCTGAGAGCAGACAGTGCCGGGCTGTCTCCTACAGCTCAGCATATAGTAAGCCACACTCAGATATGGCTTTCTTAGGAACTGTTATACTATTCCCTGCAGTTCATGGACATATGGAACACATTTACCTTGTTTATAAGACTCAAGATGGGCTAGCCAACACAAGTAGACAATGGGGAAGGGAAAAAAAAATCCTACTGTTGAGAGATTCCAATTCCAAGTGATGAAAGTAAACTGGGACTTTAGAAGCTATTAGAATTCAGAAACACCTCACATAGCTACCCCTTCTCTAATTTGTTATCAAGATATGAACCAAATGAGACAACCTTTAGTCTATATAGTTCAAAATAGGCTTCAAAATAGAATGCTGAATTAACATGCATTTTTTCTCTCCTTCTTCTTCATCACTCATTTTTGTGCTATTAAAGCCAGGAATCTTAGTCACATATTTCCTTAATATAAAATTAAAACCAACAATACAGTATAGTAAAGATAGTTTCTGTAGTTTGTTTTCTTTTCCATGCTCATTATATAGAAGGAACCCTTTAGGGCCTGAAATTTACAGTATCATATGTTGAATCTGAGGCAAATCTACACAAGAGTGGACCTCTGAAATTCACTTTTCTGGATTTCACTTACTTGCGTGTTGCCACAACGATTACTTATGTGACCTTGGTGTGGTGATTTACATATGAGTTCCCCCCACCAAATGCTTACAGAGTGCCATTAGGAGGTGTGGCCTTATGGACTAGGTATAGCTTTGTAGAAGGAAGTGTACTAGCAGGAGTGCATTATGTTTGGAATTTCCAATGCCTAAGGCAAGCCTAGTGGTTCTCTTTTTTCCTACTGTCTGTCAGTCTAGATGCAGAACTCAACTACGTCTTCAGCATCATGTCAGCCTGTCCACCTGCCGTGGCTGTAATGGATGAAACCAATAAATGTTTTCCTTTATAAGAATTGCCATGGTCAGAGTATCTCTTCACAGCAATAGAAACACTAATTAAGACACTTGTATAAGCTACTGAGTATGTAAGGCTTGTTATGTGGGAATAACATTGACACATAGAACTGTTTACAGGACTGAAAGAAAATATAGATCATAGACTGTCTTTTCCTCTTTCTCTCCCTCTACCCCTCCCTTCCTGCTTTACTGTCTCTTTCTCACTCACACATATATCATAAAACTGCCTGTATAATTATTGTTTAACTATGTGCTGCTCTTACTGTTAATGAGGTTCAAACTCTCTAATAGCCAGTCCCTAGCTCCCCTTCCCTGCCTCCTGCATATCCTCTGTTGTACTTCTTATGTCTCTGTTCCACTAAAGGCAGATGATGTTTGTGTTCCATATTCTATTATCCTCCTGGGTTGCCATTTAGCATTCACCAGGCACAGTGTATTTTCTATTAAGCCCCTGCCAGGAAAAATGGAGCACTGCTACATTTTTGTCCCCAGACAAACATTTTGTACAAAGTTTTTTATTATTCTTCCTTTACTTTTTCCTTTATATATGGACCATTCAAGGGTGAGGCAAATGTGTTAGAAAGTCTGGTATTCATAACACCTAGACACTTTTGGTTACAGTTAGAAGAACCGTATATTGAATTAATGTGGGCTTGAAGACCTGGTCTAGTAATTGTGAAGCCATAAAATTCTATTTAAAGTGCAGCCACAGGACTTGACTCTGTGAACCCCTCTGGCTGCAAATCTAATTTATTGCTATAAATGGCATAAAGTAATTGTCATTATTTGTTCAAAAGTCATTGTCCTTTAATCACGTCTACTGATTTGAACCAAGGGACATGTGTCCATTAACAGAATGAAGTTTTGAATATACCAACAATTGTACTAGCAGCATCATTTAATGTATTCTAAAGTTTTCTCCTTTTATAAGACATTGGACAAGGACAAGGAAGTAGGCCTCAGGTTGGAATCAGACATTAGGCTAGAACAAAGAAGTAATCTCAGGTAGGAATCTAAATCTTAGGCTAGAACAAAGAAGTAATTTCAGACAGGATTCTAAATTATAGGATAGAACAAGGAAGCAGTCTTCCTACATGAAAATGACCTTGCGCTAGAACAGGGAAGTAGGCTCAGATAAGTCCTGATAAGTCCTTAGAAACAGTGATCACGGGAGTGTTCACGTAATTGAGTTTAATGCCTTGGTTGTTCTTTGACTATTTGTGTTTATTGTCTTGCTTGTTCCTTGACTTTTTGCATCTATTATATTGCTAGACCCTCAACCTAGAACTGACCTTAATACATGCATATAATTAAAATGCTATAATAGCATAAAGAAGGAGGGGCATGGGATGGGGGTTCTAGGGAGGGGAAATGAGGAAAGGGGATGACATCTGTATTGTAAATAAACAAAATATCCAATAAAAAATTTAAAAAAATTTTTCTCCTTTCAAAGTTATGTTTTCATTTCTAGTTCAATGTTTTTTGATTTGAATATAATGTGACACTGTGATTAATGGTTTTCAGCCTTTTTGATCATTTAATTGAGCAGTAATTGAAGAAAACATATGTAAAACTAATAGGTAGCCATTTTTTGCCTTTGGTAATTTTTATACAAATGTACTGTGGTGTCCTATATAAATATTCATTTATATTACTCAAGTAAACACATCTATACAGAAAAGTAATATATTGTCATTCACCAAAATTTGGATCTGAGAGGTGTCATGGAGTTTTTTTGTCACAAACCCAAAGACCTGAATTTGAGCCCCTGAAACTGCATAGTGGAAGCAAACAACGAGGTGACATAAATTGTTCTCTGACCTCCATACATATTCTATAGTATATCTACACTGACACACTCACAAAGCAAACACACTTGCACATACACAAATACCCTTATGCACACATTCACATATAGTAAATAAATCTACAAACATAAATGAATTTACATTACAGAAATGATAAAATTGATGTTGGAAAAATGACTCATTATTTAAGAGCACTGATTGGTCTCCCAAAGACTTGAGTTCAATTCTCAGCATCCATTTGCTCTCTCCCAACCCTCTATAACTCCAATTTCAGAATAGCTGGACCCAGTACACTCTTTTGGCTTCATTGAGTGACAGGCAAATAAGCAGTGAGCAGATAGACATGTAGTCAAAATACCTATGTGCATAAAAAAAAAAGAGTAAAAGAAAATTTTAAAAATTAATCAAATTTAAAATACCTCACAAATCATAACATTTTCTCTCTCTGATTACCAATAATTTAACTGCCCTCATATAACTACAGGTACAGTCATTTTTTTTCTTGTCCTTGATTATATATTATATGTTTCTGACCTGTGGTCTGATTTTCATCTTAGAAAATATAAGGTCAGAATGTAACCTTAAATTCAAACATGAGAATAGTGTTCCCAGATTGCACCCTCCTCTTTATTAATATATTTATGTCAGGAAGTACAAATGACACATTACATGCATGCTTCATGAAAATAAATACTGTTTAGTGGTTTTACCCTAATCATGAGAAACATAGTTCAGCAGAAGAAATTCTACCAACTATATCACTTTCATTGTTCTTTTGTAATTTGAGGCAAAGCAAATTTTAAAGCTATATGGAACATGGTATTGAATAAGAGTCGTGTGTGAGTGATGTGTATTTATGTATTTATGTGTATGTGTATAAGTATGCACACAAGCCATCTAACAAATAGCTTTAGTGGCCTCTATGGTAAGCAACTTATTGATTCTATGATCAAAACATGTTTACGTAAGATGTAAGTCTATGTAGTGAGATCTAAGGAGGCTTTATCTTAAGGTCATAGCTGGATCTTTTCATCAATTAATTTGTATTTTCTAAGATAAAGATATTTGTTCTGATAAACTGGTCACACACACCAGTAATCCTAGTGCTGATTCAAGAGTGGGATGCTGAAGCTGGGGAATTACATTTGAAGCAGCTCTTAGCTACACAGACAGTCTCTACATTTTAAAAAGATTGTTTCTTACTATCTAGTAAGAATTAGACTGAATTCTGGGGGGGAAATTTCCCATCGTTTAATTAATTGTAATCTTATTCAGAATAAAATGAATAATTCAAGAAATTGTGATAACAGTTCCCTTTACTTATATGAATCATGCATGTTGGCTGACAAATATCAACTTGAAAATGAAAAGATGTTTATGCAGGTCTTCTAGCTTTTTGATCTTCATTTTACTAACCATCAATCCAATTGAAACACTCAGATACATTAGAAACTTTGTTTTATTTTATATTTTTCCTGTGGACACAATTTATAATACAAATAAAATGCATAGTAAAAGTGTATTGTGTATGAAATATGTGTTTTTTTTGTTATCAAGATTTGGTCACTCCATTGAAGTTTTACATCATCCACTCTTTTAAATGCTATATGAATACCAATCTCTGATGGGATTTTGTATGTGTTTCAAAAGCATTTGCCTAAGAACTAAAAAGAACCTCATGTATTGGCATGAGCTAAGACTGTATGAAAAAGATAATAGGTTTATAAGGTGATTTCTGGCCATTCTTTGGTCACTTAGTAGTATGAGTAGCATAATCAGCACATTAACTATTCTCTTTTTTATCTGCCTTTCATCAGATTTAGAATGTGATAACTCGAGTATCTGATAACTCAGTGAAGTACTTCAACACTCATCTCTGCTTCCCATGCTATGTTCTCTACAGTGTGAGTATTCATTGACTTTTTCAAGTCAGCTTGCTGGTATGGATATATATTGTTTGGACTTAGAGATAGTGCATACTGTTATGAAAAATTATAAGTTAAAACTCAAAGTATAGTAAATTTGGATAATCTGATATGAGGAGATGTTTTACAGTACTAGACTTAATACTATTTTGACATGACAGAGTGTGGCAATTGCTATGGTGAAGTAATATTCTTGCATTCAACGACATATGAAATCTTTAAATTTCCATGGTTTTTAAGTATCTTTGCCTTCCTAGAAAAACATAAGTATCATATTTAGAAACAGTTATGCCTCATTCTAAAAAGTTCTTGAAATGTCTTTGATAGATGTTATTTGTAAGAGAATTTTAAGTTCAAGTAAATTTCTTTTTTCTATTTTGTTTTCTGTTAGCTATCTATTGAAAACATGTTTAGTAATATTGACTTGTTCAAAATTTGAAATATAGTTTCTATGTGAATATTAGTTTTAAATTGCTATAAGCTTACTAAGATCACAAATGGATCTATCATAAATTAAAAAATAATTTATGTGATAGTGCTTGCCTTTAATCACAGCACTCAAGAGGCGAGGGAGGTGGATCTTTAAATTTGAGGCCAGCCTACTCTACAGAGCATGTAAGACAAGCAGAGCTGTGCAAAAAAAGTGTGTAAATATCTATAGTAACTTAATATTTATTCATCAAAATGTAGAAATAATGAAAATGTTGTTGGGTGCAATAACACATGCCTATGACTCTTGTGCTCAAGAGACCAAGGCAAGAGAGAATGTCTGAGGGTAGTATTGAAGGGTTTAAAGCCAGCTTGAGTATACAGTTCAACTCATTCTCAAAGAAACAAACAAAAAAATCAAATGTTATATTTAACTCTTGATTGAAGAACAAACTGGAATATCAGTTATAAATCTTAATCTTCTATTTTCAATACTGAAGAATGAATCCAAGGGCTTGTGTCTGCTAAGCAAGTACTCAGCTATTTAGCTATACACCCAAGCCCCCATGTATAAATCCCCAGACCATTTGGTAATGGAAGAGGGAAGCCCCAAATGTCTAAGTTAGTGTGCTACCCAATATCTAAATTCCTGAAAAGGGCACAACTAAAATAGGAAGAAGTGAATACATCATTGTGTGGGATAGATGCATAGAATAACTGGCTACAAATAAATTTCTGGTTAAATCAGGAAATATGGGAATGACAAGGCTGTTCTGTATGGTCTCAATTGCTTGGCAAGCTGAAGAGAAATGCACAGAACTCTGAAAGTACAATGTTGAGCTATACAGAATACAAATAAGGAACTAAACAGAAGTGTCTCTCAGGTAGTGGAGAAACTGACACTTTTTTGTAATTACAGAGGTAAGATATAATTGAATGTAACAGAGAGAAAGTATCAGTTTTATATTTTGAAAAGATAGTACCTTGTCAAATCAAAATCTTAAGAGAATAAGGTTAACTTGATAAAGAGTAGCAGCTGCATTCTATTTCTATTGGATATTTTTCCCTCAATAAAGTATAGGTAAGCAGCTCTGAAAACATTTTTATCTGTATAACATAAATTATGAGTAAATGAACCACTGGTAGAAGCAGTAAGATTTCCATAAGAGAAGAAGGTGTTCATAAACAGAAATGGCTGCTTTGAAATATGCCCATAACAACAATTAATAAAATAAGAGGGTATCAATTTTAAAAAGAGCAAGGAAGAGTACACAGAAGTATTTGGGGATAGAAACGGAAGGGAAATGTAGCCATATGTACCCATGGCTATATGTCATAACCCTAGCTGTATTTGTGGAATGTTCCTAGAAGGGGTGACACTGTGTGGCAACAGATCCTCTGCATGTCTGAGTTTCACCTGTAAAACACAACTTGACATACAGAAAGTGATAGCTGACTCTTGACAGGACAAGAAACATGCAAGACAATTCTGAAACATTGCAGTGCCAAAATGAGAAAAAAAGAAAAGCAAGAATAGAAGAAAAAGGAGGAAGGGTAGAAAGGAACTCACTAGGACATATCAGAAGACCAAAGCCAATCAGGATGACTGAGCTTTCAGTAACTAATATTCAACTGTGAGCTTCTACAAATAAATAATAGAAGTCTACAGTTTGACTGAGAAAACACAGTTCCTGAATTCACACTCGTATAATTCAGTGTACAATTAAATCAGAGTAAAGACAAATATTTTGTGAATAAAATTTGCAATTATTATATGTTGATACTTTCTCTACTCTTCTGGAAAGAAAGCTTAATTCTGTTTCTGAGTGTAGTTCAACTTGAGAACTCTTTTATAGAGAACAGAGTATGCTATCAACATTAACATCTCTAGTGAGAAACTCTGTTGATACTTTCTACCTTGGTGAGAAGGCAAGGACATCACCCTTTCTCAAGGCTCACATCCTGAATTTTCTCATAACAACAAGGTAGGAAAACTTAAATTAAAAGGAATAAATATAAAATGATTCACACGATCACGTGAATGTTCTAGGATAATGATGGCAAGAATTGACCGTCACAGCTGAGGACCACAACAAATAAACAGTATTTCAATGACACATTCTGGGTTTGAGTTTGAAAGAAAGAAATGAGTAAGATAGATACAGCTGACAATGTCTGTAAGAAGCCTGTGGCTTGCTTAAAATTGTCTTAATTGAGTTTTGCCAACTGGGCTATGCAATGTTAACTAAGGGAGAAGGCAGAAAGGGGAACAGATAATTCTCTATACATCTTTATCTGAGTTGGGGTTTCTGTTGCTGTGGTACCACTCAATGACCAAAAGCATTTTAGGGAGACAAGATTTATTCTATCTTACAGTTTCATATCACAGGACATCACTGAAGGAGGTCAATACAGGAACTCAAACAGGACAGGAACTTGGAAGCAGGCGCTGATACAGAGGCATTGAAGGAGTGCTGCTACTGGCTTGCTTATTCTGGCTTGCTCAGCCAGTTTTGTCATAAAACTTAGAACACTAGCCCAGAGGTAAGAACACCCACAATATGCTGAGTCTGCCTACACCAATCACACACACACAAAAAAAATCATCACACACTTGCTAGTAGAATGAGAGCATTTTCTCAATTTAAGTTTCTGCTTCCAAAAATGTCTCAACCAGAATTAATATATAAATATAAAGACATTAAGAATTCAAAACAAAAGAAGGCACTGAACAATGAGTAAAGGGATGTAAATACACATCTAAGAGCAGCTAGGTAGGTGTATGTCTCTAGGTAATGGAAATAAAGACAGTGTTTGGTAGAAATACCAAGTTTAGTGTCTACAGCACAGTGTAGAAATTAGAGTTAACTTTTGTCTATCACTTATGTGCTACAAATGCAAAGTTATTATAAGAAGAAGAGTATCAATTGTCTCATCCAGCAGGGCATTGAACAGGGGTCCAGGGAGATAACCTGAAAGAGAGAATGATGGAATGGGCGAATGCAGAGAAAGACGGCTTGTCTATAGGCTGATCAAACCACACTTTTTACTTTTTCACACAGGGGTTAGAAACACAAAAAGGCAGGATGCGGGGAAGGGTTAGATACACAAAAAGGCAGGATGTGGGGAATGGGATGATGCAAGAGCGTAGGTGTTCAGGGGAAGTACAGATATCTTCCAGAACAGAGTGTCAGCTGGATGAAGGTTCAGGAGACAGGTCACTATGACTCTGCCTACGATTCACTTGTCCTTATCTAAGTTGGTACCATCCACCAAGGCTACCCAAGGTCTATGACTGTCCACAAGACCTATGATTACTTTTTCCTATCCAGGCTGGTAAATTTCCACCAAAGCTGCCTGTTTACAATATCTTATAACTATCTGTTTCAGTATTTTTCCACAGAGACCCAAGACTTTGTGCTAGCAGGCTGACTTAGGCCTATTGCTGATTTTAGGCCTTCAGTATATAAGCAAGGCTGCCCCTGACAATTAATTATCCTAATTTGATCAATACATGTTATATGTTTGCATTGAGATATTATACTATGCTTAATAAATATATAAAATTATGTGCTAATCAATATACTATTTTTAAATGATAGGAATATGCGACCCTATTTTATCCTTATCTACTAGGTATATGCCATGTTAACTAAGGCATCACACTAACACCCCATAATTTTATTTATTTAAAAGCAAAAATGGCAATTCTACTACTAGGAAGGTCATTTTATGTGAAATATAAACTTTCTACTCTTTTGTAGAAATATCTAGACATTTTCCTGTGTTCACTGTAGTTTCTTTATTATCTTCCATTTAGATTTCCTTTCTGTCTTGTAATAATTTTAAAGTTACACACATGTGTTTAGATTTTAACAAAACACTATCCAAGCTATCTAAATGTCAGATTCCACTTCTCTATAGTCCATTTAGCTCTGTTTTCTTTGACTATATTATCCTTCTGGACAAACAACCACAGTTTGTTAATATAGAAATTCAATCTGATCAGCCTATATTCAAATTTCATTTAATATCTGACAAATACAAAGGATAGTGTGAAAATAATGTACTCAAATATACCTCCCAACATAGTTGAACGCTTAGGGTTATGAGTACTTTCTTTTCCTCACTAAGCCCCTGTTTTAAAAGCAAAATGTATTCAAATTTTTCAGCACTTTGTTTTGGTTTCATTAAAAGTTTATTCTAAAGTCTTGCACGTTTCTTCTCAGCTCTCCTATCTGGTAGATAATATACACTTAAAATACTTGTATTTAATTTCTAAGCACATTACCATGGGGCATATTTTGTTTTCAGTTAAATAAAATAAAACAGAGAAAGCAAAACCAAAACCAAGCTTGCTAAAAACGATAGCAATTTCAGGAGTAATGGGAATGACTTCGTGTGGGAAGGGCTCTGTAGTCCCGTGATTGATGCTCAGTATCCTTCACTTATCAAGACATAGTTCTTGTTGTAAAAGTTGATGGAGGTACAGAAAGATCCAAAGTGTATAGCGGGGAGGAGGGGAGGAGATAGATAACAGATAACACATT